TAGATTGTTTCCACATATTGACTATTGTGAATAGTGCAATGAACGTTGGTGTGCAAATATCTCTTTTAAGTAACCAAATATACATCTAACATGTATATTTAGAATTCTTATACTAAAACTATACGTCTAGTGCTTTTAAAAGTTAAATAAAAGCTGTACAATAGTTTAAATAAAAGCACCTAAATTCTTGCCCTCATCGTATTGATTTTTTTCCTCACTTTTAGATGGTCTTTTAACTTATTTTGCAAAAATATATAATACATGATTGTAATCATTATATAATACAATTTGAATTCTTACTTTTACACTTATCCTAAACATTTCCACATATAATTTAAAATTTTTACTTTTGAATAGTGGTGTAATAGTTTTTCAAGATGATGCACTATAATGTAATGAATCATTTCTCTGGTTGGATATTTATAAGTGACCCTGACATATTCTGCTGAGCCAGGGTGTCACAATCTCTTGGCAGTATCTTTTTTGAAATCTATTATTGCAGGTATTACTGATTGTCTGGCAACATAAACAGTGGGATCATGTAGCCAAAATATCATACTTGGTTTGGGTTACTTTATTGTGAAAAAGATTTAACCAAATGGAATATTCACGAGAAGGGAAGAAAATAATAATGAGAGAAACAGGGGCCAATTGAAAGAGGGAAGTACAATTTGTATCTCACTATTTGACTATTTACTTCATGTACTTCAATGTCAGGTTATCTGTGGGGAGAAGACAGCTAGAGGTACAGCAGAGCATGAGGCTGGATACAGGAACTGTGTTAGAGAAGAAAGGCCAAGGGATGATGGTGAGCACAAAGTAAGCTGTAAAAGAGAATGCAAATGTAAATAGTTACTACTATCACATTATGATTAGAAAGAAAATATTCAATCTAAAGAGCTGAGCTGAGAGACACAGGTTAAGTTCATGGCTTGTATTAAGGCAGCAAAAAGGGCTACCCAAGTCAAGTCAACACAACTGATATTTGTTGAACTGCTCTATGCTTAAAAGAAATCCTAGGACACTGTGGATACAAAAATGAACAAAACTTGATAAGCTCATAATCCAGGTAACCAAGGGCCCTGAGAGCACAAAGAAAAAGAAAGTAGTTTTTTAAGAGGTGGAATTCGGAGTGTGAACAGTCAAGGTACACAGAGGAGTGACATTTGATCTGAGTCTTGAAAGAGGAGTAGGAGTTTGCTCAGCTGGCACAGGAAAAAAAGGGTTTAGCAAATGTTCCCTGTCAGAAGGTGCTTGGTATGTGCAGGGAGCAGAAAGTAGTCCAATTTAGCTAAAGTCATAATTTTCAAACATATTTAATATGAGTCACCCTTTCAAATAAAACTGTATTTAGAACCCAACATATACAATGCATAAAAGTGGTACTTTACAGTTTAAATGCATTTTATCATTTTAATTATGAAATATTTTCCTGTTATTCATGGAAAAAATGAGAATAATAACACTCTTCTGAGAACCTAAAAAATTGCAACCATGGAGTTATATCTGATACTTTGTTTATTTTATTTCTGTTTGGCTGTACAATAATAAGAAATTTCTGATTCACACTGCAGCTTGTCCTAGAATTTCACTATATGCTTCAATTAAAGTAGATTAGAAGCTTGAAAGAAAAGTAGCAGGAAATGTTTACTTCAATAGTCAATAACTAATAATGTCAATTATCTCTTGTTCACATATGTAAAGGTCAGACAAGATGTAGCCAAAATGGAAAATAATCTCTAAAATTATTTATAGTATAATATTATTATGAAGTGTTTTATATGCTCTTTTTGAACAACTACTATGCTGTGATAAGAAATAATTCTAGGCAGTACATGTCTCTGACCAGAGCCTCAAAGTATTATATATTTATACAAATTTAAGTGAGTCAAAATGCAGAGGTCTAAATGATAAAAAGATAAATACAGAGCTACAAACTTCTTTATCAATGACATATTTTATATATCCAAATATAGGAAATTCGATGATGAGGAAACTTTAAGGTTTGTCTCCCAGCTGCATAATTTGGTCTTTTTTTTTTTTTTTTTTTAAGATGGAATCTCGCTCTGTCACCCAGGCTGGACTACTTGGTGCGATCTCAGCTCACTGTAACCTCCATCTCCCAGGCTCAAGTGATTCTCCTGCCTCAGCCTCCAGAGTAGCTTGGAGTACATGTGCCACATGCCCTGCTAATTGTTCATTTTTAGTAGAGATGGGGTTTCATCATGTTGGCCAGGCTGGTCTGGAACTCCTGACCTCAGGTGATCTTCCCACCTTTGCTTCCCAAAGTGTTGGGATTACAGGCCTGAGCCACCATGCCCAGAGACAATCTGGTAATTTTTAATACTTTTAAATTGAAGATAGATCACAATTGAGTGTGCATGCTCCTTCTTTATTAGTGTTGATAGGATAGTAAAAATGTAATCTAAAATTTAATTTCAAAATATCATGTTTGCATAGCCCCTAAAATGCCTCTGCAGAGCCCTTAAGGCCACATGGTTTGTTGAGGCTAGATTAAACAAAATCTTGGCTGTAATTGAATGTTGGACTTCACTTGTAGCCTTTGAGGATTTCTTGAAATATTTTAGAAAAAGATGTGAGAAGTCCAGATCCTGTATTTGAAATGATAATTTAAGTATGTTTAAATTGAGGGAGAATGGAAATTTATTTAGAAAGAAACTGAAATAATTCAGATGAAAGAAACTGAAATTGAGGCCCTGAAATAGCGCAAAAGGAGTGAAACTGGAGAGTTGGGGTAAGATTCAAAGATATCTCAGAAAGAGGGAGGTATAAAGAAATAACAGCTTTTAATAACATATGGTCCGGAGTTTGAATCTTGCCTTGTGTTTTTCAGTTTATGAAAATATAGAAAGCATCTGCTATGGTTTGAATGTGTCCTCCCCAAATTCATATGTTGACATTTAATTGCCAATGTGATAGTATTAAGAGATGGGGCTTTTCAGAGGTGATTAAATCATGAGAGCTCATGAATGGGATTAGTGCCCTTATAAAAGAGGTACAAGGGAACTGTTTGTGCCTTCTGCCCCTTCCATTATGTGAGGACACAGAGAAGGTATCATCTATGAGGAACAGGCTCTCACCAGACCCTTGTTAAAAGAAAAACTTTAGACAAATTAACTTTAGCAGAGTTTATTTGAGCAAAGAACAATTCATGAATCAGGCAGTACTCTAAACCAGTGGAGATTCAGAAAGCCCCACTCAGCAATGTGAGCAGGCAATATTTATAGGCAGAAAGAGGAATTGAGAGTACAGAAACAGCTTGCTTGATTATGGCCCAGCATTTGCCTTATTTAGGCACAATGCAATGAGGCATTTGCCTTATGTGGACATGGTCTTATTAGTTGGTAGTCTGTGATTGGATGAAATCTGGCTGGTGTAATTAGCTGAGACTCAGCTATTTGTTGCAAGAATATACTCTTAAGTAAGGTTTATCTAAACACTAACTTAGGTGCAGTTTGCTATGCAGAATTTCAAAGTATGGAAGCAGCTTTAGGCCAAATTTAATTTAATTTAACATTCAATATGCTGGTGCCTTAATCTTGAACTTTCCAGCCTCCAGAACTGTGAGAGATACATTTCTTTTTGTAACTTACCTGGCCTAAGATATTTTGTTGTAGGAGCAACAATGGACTAAGATAGCATCTGGGAAATAATAATGTATAATCTTTTAACACCTGAATAATACAAATACTGATCTAGAGATTACCTTACATCTTGACATTCTGTAAGCCCTGCTTAACTACTGCACCACAGAAGGCCGCATAGCTGAGACTACAGAGCTGAGACTTGAACCCTAGCAACCTAACCACAGAATTCCTGCTCTTTATTATTTTGCTGTCAACACTTGATTCTGAGGTTGTGCAAATTCACTGTGTAAAAATCAAGAAGCACATATAGTTTGAAATAAAAAGCAGATGTGTGGGGGAAAGGAAGACCAGGAGAGATGATCCTCTTCTATGTCATGTTATGAAGTATGAACTTTGGATCTCAAAGGCAGTGGAGAAAATCAATGACAGATTTTAAGCAGAAATAAGATGATCAGTTTTGAATGTATATCACTCTGGTGCATTTTACTCTTTTAGGTTTCCTTAGTACCTTATCATAATTTTCAATTTCATTCCAGGCCTTAAGCATTCTCCAAGTATCTCATGCATTTATTTTACTTTTTTTCTGAGAAAACTACATTAAAAAAAAAAAGAAACAGTTTATTTTTTCTTTATTCATTGAACAAATATTAAATACACACTAGTTAATACAAGGGACTCCTTCAAAGGATCTATGCAAATAAGCTTGCAAAATATGCAAATTAATGGGTGATGACTTGCATTATAAAACAATACTTAGATTTACAGATTTATGTGAAGTTTCAGATTTATGTTCTTCAAACCTACTAAAGGCAAATTGTTTGAAGGACTGTGTTCTCCATATATTAAAGGACTATTGTCATAAAATGAAGCACGCATGCACTTTTATAAGTGACTCAAATGACCTACTTAAAAACTGCTATTTCTAGTGAAACCAGTTAATCAACATTTGAAAAACAAGTCTTCAGATGCCCCTGATTATCAGCCTGGAGGAGTACACCATCAACTGTGAGAACAGGATGTTCTATCTTGCACTAATGAGAGATGCTAATGCATCATATTTAAGGAGAATTAAAATGAAACTCCTTAAAACAAAGAATTAAACTCTGACACATTACCTGCATTTATCTGATAAAATAGTGCCACACAGTCATGCCTTGCTTAATGACAAAGACACGTTCTGAGAAATGAGATGCTAGGCTATTTTGTCATTGTGCTAATATAGAATATACTGACATAAACTTGGATGGTCTAACCTACTACATACCTAGGCTATATGGTATGGCTTATACTCCTAGGCTACAAACTTGTACAGCATGTTACTGCACAATATTTAGTAGGCAATTGTAACATAATGGTAATTATTTGTGTATTTAAATTTTTCTTTTCTTTTTTTTTTTTGAGACAGGGTCTTGCACTGGTGTGCAAAGGAGCGATCTCGGCTCACTGCAACCTCTGCTTCCCAGGCTCAAGCAATCCTCCTGACTCAGTCCCCACTGCCCACCCCACACCCCACCCCAGTAGCTGGCTATGGGTGCCCTCCACCACACTGGCTACTTTTTGTGTTTGTTTGTTTGTTTTTGTAGAGATGGGGCTTCACCATGTTGCCTGGGTTGGTCTCGAACTCCTGGGCTCAAGCGATCCATTTGCCTTGGCCATCCAAAGTGCTGGGATTACAGGCGTGGGCCACTGCACCTGGCTAAACATTTCTAAACATAAAAAAGCTATAGTAAAATATGTTATTATAATCTTATGGGACCACCATCATATATGCTGTCCATTATTGACCAAAATGTTATGTGGCACATGACTCTGTGTATGTACACCCACACCCACACCCACACATACACATATGTATCATAATATAATACAAAAAAAAAAAAAACCCATAATACAAAGAAAACAAAACAAAAAAAACTTTCCTCATTGAATGACTGGAATCAGACCTTTTGTTTAAAGGCTTTGAATACAATTTTCCCAGTTTTTAAAAGTGTGGAAGCTAAACTGTAAGATTCCACAAAGAAAAGTTTCCAGAATATAACATATTTGCCAGAAACTGCCTTTCAAAGCAAGTGGAAAATATCCTTACTAGTTTAGAAAAGTTCAGATATTTAAAAGAAGTAAAATTTTGCACATCAATTAAAATTGAAGTGCCTTTGTGTAACTAGAAGGCAAATCAGCATATAAGAACTTTTTTGTAATTTGTAATCCAATTTATTCAAGTCGAGGAGACTTACACATTATTTAAAAAGTATAAAATGAAGTCATAGTAATGAAAAATACAGTACAGTGTGTTTTGACCATACAGTAATGAGGCTGATTTTCTCAGACGACTTAGTCACATAACATGCAACATTTTAAATGTGTCTTCCTCAGCCAAGAGCAACAAAGTGAGACCAGCCAAGAGTCAGTCATATGACCACCGGCAAAGTTGCCAATGCAGTTTTTCCATTTCATGTGCCCTGTGGAAGTGCAAAAGTGGAAAAGTAGACCCAATTGGAATGGGCAAAAGTGGAAAAGTAGACTCAATTGGAATGCTAGTTTTTTTTCACATTGCGTAAGTTAAAGGTACAACAGCTGCTATATGCTAAATTATCACTAGTTGTGGGACTTTAGTTACAGTACTTGAATTTCCCCTCACTCCAACTTCTTAAAATGTGTTGAAATACCAACCATTACTAAGTTAGTTTCTCCAATGTAATTGAATAGTCTAACTTGGTATTTTAGTCCTTAACAGATTTTGCCTAAAATTATAACATTTACAGGGAAAAAAAGTTCAGAGTTAAAAGAATACCATGCAAGGGCAAATGCTTTTATGGACAAACTTTGAACTGGATCTTCACTGTTCATTACCTTACTGTATTTGCTAAGGAAGCTAAGATCTCATTTAATTTTTGTGTGCTTTGCTTTGGTTCAAAACTAACATCACATTCTCAGAACTTGGTCAGGCCTTAATCAAATAAAATATTATTGAGCTTCCACTTGGTCTTTCCATTCTGCTAAGTGCAAAGACAGTTCTGGAGAAATCAGTCTTAGCTCATGTCCTCAAGGAGTTGGTCAAAAGACAAAGGTTGCAGAATATGTACGTGCCATGTCAATGAACTGCTACAATGGAATAAACTTAAAATAATGCTAACATTTATTGACTCCTCATAATACGGCCAGAAACTTTGCATGAATTAACTCATAGAAACGTTATGACGTTGTATTATAAGCTATCTTAATTTGCAGATGAGGACACTGAGGCTTAGGGAAGTTATCTAACTTGCCTAAGGTTAAAGCAATATGCTACCTTTATGGTTGCATCTCCTTAGTAAATCTCTGGGTTGCTCGGACTCCAGTGCGAGAAAGAGCCTAAAATTTGCAAACTTGGATGATGGGGAAGAAAAGGTGTGCTAAAGTCAGGTCACAGAGGTTCAGTCTTAATCTTGTTCCTCTGCAAGCCTTGTTGCTCACACCTCTTGACCGACAGCTCGAGGCAGGTCCTCACAGCAAACTTACTCTACGTAAGCCAAGGCCAGGTTTGGGAAGAAGGGGCTGAGAAATGTTAGAAACGTGAACGCAGTCCAGGCGGGAGAAGAGAAGGGGGTTTCGAGGGGTGCCCCTATGCAGCTCACACACACACACGAAGCACTCACTTGGAAAAGCAACAAGCTTGGTGGGAGGTCCTCCCGCGGCTGGAGGGCCCTGAACCCTAGGCCAAGACTCATCCACAACCTAGGGGGAGGCGGCCACCAGCGCCCCATCTAAGCTAAAGGGCTGACAGAAGGGCTGCAGCGGCAAGTGCGCGCCAACACACGCCGGGTCTCGCATACGCCCAGACACCTGAGGCTCTGAGAGGAACTTCCCGGCGATCCGCTCAGGCTGCGCAGAGCCTCTTCTCCCCGCCGGGGCCCCGCCCAGCCTCACTTCTTTTAAAAGCAGCAGCCAGCAGCGCGCCAGCGGCGTGCGGCTCGAAAGGCCGGGAGGACGTCAGAGCCGCGCTGTGGAGGCCCCAGCACGCCCCGCTTTCCTTCGCAGTGACTCGGCGGCGCCCAGGACTGCGCGCACCTACACCCAAACGCGCGCTCCACCCGGTAGCCTCCTCCTGCCTCACGGCCCGAAGATGGCGGCTCTCAAACTCCTCTCCTCCGGGCTTCGGCTCTGCGCCTCTGCCTGCGGATCTAGAGGAGCCTGGTACAAGGTAAAGTGCGGGGGAAAAGGAAGGCCACGGGCAGGAAGGACGTGGACCAAACCCTGAGTGGTGCCCGCGTTTTCTGCTCTGCCCCTACCCCCTCTCTCCAGCCTGGGATCTGGCATCCGTGGCGCGGTGCCCTCGTCACGGACACGCGGCGACGCGTTTTTGGCCTCGCCGGCCCCTTGGATGACCGCCTTTGCTTGGTTCTGCAGTCGCTTCCCTGATGGAGCGAGAAGCTCAAGGAAGCGCGCGGAGAGGCTGAGAAGGGGCGGGAGGACTCCTGGCAGCGCTCTCGAGCTCCCTGGCGGTCGCCGGCGTCCCTCCTGGCACCCGCCCTTGGAAAGGGACTCTGAGGGTCTGAACTGGGGGAGGAGGGCGCCAGTGTATGGAGGTGAAGGAGTGAGGCAACAGCGGGTAGGTTCGCGCCCCCGATGTGGGATCTCTGGGCAGAGGAACCCCTAGAGGCCCAGAATCTGAGGCCGGGTTCGCCATGGCTCTGCTCGAGTTCACCGGGGCTGGATGCCGGGTGCGGCGGGTGTGGAATACAGCTCCCATCCTCTCCTCCCCTATTTGGCTCTGCTGCCCGGCAGACTGGAGCGCTCGCCAGAGCGTCCTGCCGGCCAAGCTGGGAAACCATCCGAGGTGTGTCCCTGGCTCGCGTCTGGTCTGCAGGGACGGACAAACCTTTCTCTCGAGGCCCCTCGTATCCGGGTTAGGGGCTTTCGGTTTTCAGAGCCCTTTGAAATCCTTTTTGTGCCCCACTACCAACTCTCCACCCAGTGGTATCCGGAGGCATTCCCACCGTGGACTGACTTGTGGTTTTGCCCCATGCACTGTCCTCGCTTGTAAGCCCACCCTTGTCTGAAGCCCTAGGAGCGAATTGCAGGACCGGAGCGCCAGGTCCAGGAGGGTGGCTTTATCCCCGCTGTCTCAATCGCGGGAGCCTCTTCCTTGGTATTCAATAATAGATCTGAGCTTAACAGCGTGCCATGTACACGGTGCTTACTCCTGAAGCGTGCCTGCCAGCCCCCATTGCACTTCTTTCCTGCATCCAATCCCTGACCGCTGAGAACACAGAGGAGCCGCTGAGCTCCTTTACTCTTAAATGCCTCTTAGGAAGCATTTTGATAACTGCAGGTAGACTTGGATATATAAAGCATTATTGAAAGGGAACTTGACCTTCAGTGAGCCTGCAGTGGTGCTGAAGCTAGTGCAAACCAGAGCACAGCTATACCCTTGGGCCGAGGTCAAGAACGTTCCTTCTTTTGACAGTTATTTGCCCAACTGTAATTTACTCACTTCGAGTCTTTTCCACTTTGAGTATATCATTAAACCATTTCCGAAGCTCAGCAAACCTCTTCTTAGAGGGAGGAGATGCAAATAAGGGGTTCTGTTGTATCTCATTAAAAGTTCATACAGAGTTCAAACTTACCCCTGTCAGGCTTAATTATCATAGGTCTGACTCCTGCCTCCCGCTGTTCCCCTAGCTTGTGACTCTTAGTGCCCTTATTGTTTAGCACTTTAAATCCTCACCTGCTGCTTCTGTTGAACTGTACCACTTATCTGCTTGTTGAACTTTTCAGATGTGTATATTGTCTCCTCAACCAGATGACAGTTCCCTGATGGCAGAGACCATTTTTATGCCTTACACTCAGTCTCCCTCAACAAATACACTACTCTGCGTAGATGAGATATTCTACACGTGTTTAACATACGGATGAGAGAACCCTGCAGGCAAACAGAAACCTTGAGTTTTTCCACTAAACAGAACTAACAGCTAAAATGAGATAGTTATTTTCTTAAATGTGTACAATTTTTATGATGGGCAAGCCCAGTGTCTCTCAGACCTGAGAGTGCATCAGCATTACCTGGAGGTTTTCTAAAACAGACTGCTGTACCCAGCCCCAGAATTTCTAATTTAGTAGGTCCTGGGTGGGGCCCTAAACTTTGCATTGATAAGTTCCAGATGGTGTTGATGCTCCTGGTCTGGGGACTGACTGCCCCTTTCAGAGTTATCTGGCATGGACTTAGGTGAGAATAGACTATTGGAAGGTATCTTCTTTTCTTCATTATTACTGCAGGGCAGTGGGGAGCATTTAATACTATTTTCACGATAGAAAATTATTAGTGGGAAAAAGATTATAAGAGTACCACTAACACTTTACCCACCATTCATCCTTGACACTGTCTTTTCCAAAATCTCTTTCCAAGCTCAGACTATCCTGAGCTGCAGTCCTTCTGTTGCAACTGGTGAACTTCACTTGGATGTCATTTGGTGCTTAAAACTCTTTCTGATCCAAAACAAACCAGCCATAAAGTGGCTTTCCCATTCCTTGTTTTGTTCTTCTTTCACTGTGCTTGACAGCACCAGTATCCATCCAGTATATAAGCTGGCAATCCTGGAACCATCTTCTCTTCTCCTTGCTGCACTTCCAGTTGATCACCAAGTGTCATATGTGCCTCTTTCTGAAATGTTCCTCAGTGCTGTCCCTGGCATTCTTTCTCAGCAACTGTTTCTTCCTTATAGCTCCGCAAGTAAATACTATGATTGTGTTTAAAATTTTGTAATTATTTAATGACTACTGTCTTTTCTAGTTTGTAAGTTTCATCCTAGCAGGGACTATGTCTGTGTTTTATTTTTAATATTTATTTTAACTTTGTAGCCCCAGTATTTTGTATAGTTGGTACAAATGGGTGAAGGAAAGAAATAATGAGTTTCCATACCACTTTCTTAATTCAGGCTTCCTTTGAGTTATGACATCTGTTTCAAAAGCTTTGCTGTCCCTTCCTCATTGAACGATCAAGTCACAAATCACCACTAAAGAACTTACTCATGTAATCAAGTACTACCTGTTCCCCAAAAACCTATGGAAATAAAAAAATTAAAAAGAAAAGGAAAAAGAAACTCTGCAGTGTAGTCTTTAAGACTTTTTACAAACTGCCTCAATCTGCTTCTCCAGCCTGATCTTCGTGAACCTCTCTCCATAAGACCTGATCCCACGTGTCTGTGAGTACACAGAGCCTTTTCATGTCGTTGAACTCTTACTTATGTGGCTCCCTTGTTTGGAATCACCGTCCTGACAAGTATTTAACACCTGGCAAACTCTGGTTTTCTAGTCCACCAGGTAGAATGAATTACTCCTTCATCTGTGCTCCTTTGGAGCACTGAGTACCCCTCCAGCATTGGATAACAATGCACACCACTGCTGTAGAAAATTGCCTAGTGTTGTAACTCCCTGTGAGCTCCTTGAGATTTATTCTTGTTACATGTGCATAATTGGCAGTGTTTAGCTGAAGGTGAACATTCCACCTTTGGTAGACACTGGTTCACTTCTGGACAGCTAAAGTGTTTTCACACACATCACCACCTCTTGGCAGTGATGCCATGCTCTGCAGGTCTGTGAGTGCATTCACTCACATATTACTGCCTTTTCCTTACGACGTGTATCTCTTGACTTCTCTCCATATAACTTCTCCCCACTTTTGTTTCTCAAACTCTGATACTGACTTGGACGATATCAGCTGTTCCTTGTCATTTATTTAACCATAAGGTGACAAAATAAATATCACCTCATGTTAAAGTAATCTTAAAGCTAAGACCCGTGTTTTTTTGAAAACTTTCAACAAAGATCACCTGGGTTAATTTGCTACAGTAAGAATTGTGTTTAAAAACATTCTTTGTAAAATCAGTGGCGTGTATATATATGGTAGAGTGAGGTGGTTAAAAATTAAAACTAAACTCCAATAAATGACAAGCTGGTTTTACTGCCCTGGTAGAGAATGAAGAAAAGTTTGCATTTTCCAAAGGAAGCTAGTATCCCCTGAGTGTCTTCTATAGTCCAGGCACAGGGCTTCTGTATATAACATCAGAATATGTTTTATACATATATAACCTTAGAAAGGGAAACTGTGGGCAAGGGGAGGTCTACTGTACATATAAAAACACCATGTATGCCATAAATATATACATTTATTGCCTACATAAATATATATATTTATATACAATTAAAATTAAAACTAAACTCCAATAAATGACAAGTTGATCTTACTGCCCTACTGGAGAATGAAGAAAAGCTTGCATTTTCCAAAGGAAGCTAGTATCCCCTGGGTATCTTCTATGGTCCTGGCACAGGGTTTCTGTATATAACATCATTTGATCCTTACTACATTCCTAGAAAACAATTATCATCTTTTTGTAAACTTAAAATACCCTCTCCCCCCGTGAAAAAGAGATGCAGTGGTTAAGTAATTTTCCTAGGTTCGTGTAACTGTGGCAGAATTGGAATTTGAAGCAAGGGTATTTTTGATCCCAAGAGCATGATCTTTCATGCCATACTATCTCCTAAACTAGATGTTAGGGTTTCTTAGGATAGAATCTGTTGTAGTACAAGTTGACTCTTTAGTAAATAGATATCAAATGTCAACAAATACTGTTAACTGAATATATGAATAATGAAAAAAACAAACTTGAGCACCTGCAAGTTCTTCATTGTCTTGAGCCCCTCTCAGATTACCTGGGAAACATCTTCACTTTATGCTTTTAACTTTTGATTATTTGGCTAAACATACCTTCTCTAAAATACTTTTGAGGTTTTTTTTTTTTTCCTCAGGGAGTGTGGCAAGCTCTTTGGTAATTTCTAACTGTAATGAAAACTATCAGATGAAACAAAAGAATAGAATTCTTGATAAGCCTATGGTTATATGCTTTTATTTGTGGGCAGGGGAGAGGTGGTGATGGTTAATGGGTACCAAAAAATAGAATGAATGAGACCTACTGTTTGATAGCACAATAAGGTGAGACTATAGTCAATAACAACTTCATTGTACGTTTAAAAATAACTTCAAGTGTATTTGGATTGTAACTCAAAGGGTAAATGCTTGAGGGAATGGATACCTGAATCTAAAAAGCCTGTATAGGTGTATAGGGGAAATGAGTTTTCTTCCAACTTCCTCTGTATGTGGGATTTGTGTTTCTCAGCATATTGAAATAGTTAGGGTGATCTTACTGCACAGACTGTTGAGCTGTGGATAAACTCTTTAATTTTCTTCCGCTTCTAGCTATAAGGGCCTGACTCTTCACTTCTGGGTGGAGATAATGACAGCAGAGTTATACAGGAAGAAATAGAACACTCACAAAGATTTGTTGTATATCAATAAACGAGAAGTAGAGTATGAGAGGTTTCAAAAAACTTGGAGAGAAGCATACTGCAGTAGAAAGATCCTGAGGTAGAAGGCCATACAAAATCTTGGATCTGGTCTTGCTTTAACACAGTTTTGGGTAAATTACAAGATCCTTCTAAGCTTCAAAAACTTGACCTGTCATTTTAAGTGTCTCTAGGAGATATCCTCAACTTTATCTTGCCATCCTTCTGTTGGCCTGTTTATTTAGGCTGTCACACTTGTCATTTTCAATATATTAAAAAAATGTATGTTTAAAATAGAAGCAGATGAATACTTGCTACTTGAGGATAGGAAAGAGGGAAAACTCTTTGTGGCTCAAGCCCTTTCTATCTCTGCCTAGACTTATTTCTCAGGGTTTGGGCAGTGTGCTCACTTATTTTTAGAGGAAGAAAAGAATGATAGACATTTATGCTGTCACCTTGACTACTTCAGTTGTGCCTGTCTGGGAGACTGTTAGGCAGTGGATGTGAGCTCACAACTGGCATGTTAAGGTGGCAGTATACCAAGATTCAGATGTTATTCTTTCTTTTTAGGCTGACTGTGTAATGAGAATAAAGGAAAGGTGATATTGTGTATGAATGATTGCTACAGAATCTGCTTTCTTGTTTCCTTTTGTGCATAGTGTGGATGAAGTAGGGGAAAGGGAAATGTTTACAACTGATTGCTCATGAATATTCACTAGGTGACTCATTTGGGACCCAATAGTACACTGGTAAGGCTAGACTTACCTTCCTTGTAGATAATGGTTTGTTCCTTTTATGTAGGCTCCATAAACCTTAAGCCCCGTAGGAGGATGAGTTGTTTTGTAAGGTGTTCTTGTCTCTTTAGGAGGCATTCTTTGACATTTAAGATTGAACCTGGAGCCCAACTCTGTAGGTATATGTTTTGTTCACATTGGCTTTAATTTTTTAGAGAGCAGTGCTCATGTCTTAATACTTAACTATGTTGGAACAAATAGTACAGGACTTGACACATGGTAGGTTTACAGTAAATACTTATTTATTAATGGAAGATTCGGTTACCAGAAACTGATGCTTGATGACACCCTTGCTATGAATTTGAATTCAAGTATATGGACTTTTGCGGGCGGCAAGGCACCCAGGTGCCGAGGCAAGAGATCGAGGGCACAAGCTGTTCTAGTATAATAAAATATATAAAATAAGAATAGTTATTCTAGATATAGATAATAGATATGATTATGTATGAATATCATTTAATCATTAGTTTGTAGCAATTACTCTTTACTCCAATATTATAATAATCCTTGCTCTACAATTATAACTTAGGAAAAGCCAGGCCATACAGAGATAGGAACTGAGGGGACATAGTGAGAAGTGACCAGAAGACAAGAGTGTGAGCCTTCTGTTATGCCCGGACAGGTCCACCAGAGGGCTCCTTGGTCTAGTGATAACGCCAGCGTCTGGGAAGACACCCGTTGCCAAGTGGACCGTGGTCTAGCGGTAGCGTCAGTGTCAAGGAAAAACACCTGCTACTTAGCAGACCAGGAAAAGGAGACTCCCTTTCTCCGTAGGAGTTCAGAGAAGACTCTACTCCTCCACCTCTTGTGGAGTCAGGCCCACACGCAGTTTTCCAGAGGCCTAACCATCTCCCTGGGATGCTGTGCTTCAATGGTCAGGCTCCTAGTCCGCCTTCATGTTCCATCCTGTACACTGGCCATGCCTTTTAAATAACAGTAGCAAATTAGTGAAAGTACTAAAAATCTCTGATATGCAGAAATAATGGTGTAAGCTTTCTCTCTCTCTCTCCTCTCTTTCTCTCTGCCTCGGCTGCCAGGCAGGGAAGGGCCCCATGTCCAGTGGACATGTGACCCTTGTGACTTTACCTATCATTGGAGACGGCTCTCACTCGTTACCCTGCCACTTTGTCTTCTATCCAACAAATATCAGCACAGCCTGGCATTCGGGGCCACTACCGGTCTCCGCGTCTTGGTGGTAGTGGTCCCCCAGGCCCAGCTGTCTTTTCTTTTATCTCTTTGTCTTTGTCTTTATTCCTACAATCTCTCGTCTCCGCACACGGGGAGGAAAACCCACTGACCCTGTGGGGCTGGACCCTACAGACTTTTCTTTCTACTTTCATTCTTTGGGGTGACCACAAAGGATGGAATTAGAACTTTCCCTTATGTAATAGAAGACATCTGTTACAAGGGGACTTCAGTGATAATCTGTGGATAAAATATCCATCCTACTTTTAAGTATGAGTCACTTAAAGCTCCAGGCTTTTAAAGAGGGGTATAGTATCACAGACAGAAAGGTGAAATGGTGGTTATGGAGGCTGGAGGTGAGGAGTTGGTGAGATGTTGGTCAAAGGATACATAATTTTATTTAGGAGGAATAAATTCAAGAGATCTGTTGAACACCACGGTGACTATAGTTAATAATATATTGTATACTAGAAAATTGCTTAGAGATTTTTACCACAAAAAAGTGTGCATTTATAAAGAGCTTGATTGAGCCATTAGTATCCTCCCTTATCTGAGGAGAATATGTTCCAAAACCCTAGTGGATACCTGACCTGTGGGTAGTATCAAACCCTATATAAGTTGTTTTTCCTACATACGTCTGTCATTCATTTTAATTTACAAATTAGACTATGAGACATTAGTCACAATAACTAATAATAGAACAATTATAACAATATATTGTAATAAAAGTTATAAGAATGCATTCTCTCTCCCAAATCTTATTGTACCATACTTACCTGGGGTGACAGACCTCAGAAAGGGAAACTGTGGATAAGGGGGGTCTACTGTACATATAAAAACAACCATGTGTGCCATAAATATATACAGTTATTACCTGTATAAATATATACATTATATACAATTATTACCTGGACATTAAAAACATGTATATATAAAGGGGATAATGAAATTATCATTTGTCTGTCAATTGAATAAATTGCTACACACACAAAGCTGTATCTCTAAATGAGTATCAATTTTTTTTTTTGATATTTCAGGGATGTGTTTGTTCCTTTTCCACCAGTGCTCATCGCCATACCAAGTTTTATACAGATCCAGTAGAAGCTGTAAAAGACATCCCTGATGGTGCGACGGTTTTGGTTGGTGGTGAGTACTAATACTGTTTTTCATATTACAGTAATGTCCTTATGTTTTTAAATGAAACCAGCAAATCACAATGACAAAGATGTATAAAAATGATAATTATTTTATTATACATTATTTATTTTATATATTATAGTATCATCTGTTTTATTAGTGTCTTCTTCCTAAAAGTTTAGCAAGGTTTAGCATTCAATATTTTACTTTCTCTGTGTGTGTGTGTATTTGTGTGTTTCTGTTTTGAAAAACTGAAGCTTCAAAGTAGTCATGTTTTATTAATAGCTTTGAAAAAAATCCCTAGATCCCAATTTTTTACTTAAAAAGTTGGCATTAATCTCATAAGCTTACACCTTCAGAGACCCTGTAGACATAGACATCTGTATTGACCTCCCCCACTGCCCATTCTATTGCTGCTGCTTGTTTGGAATCTCAAGAGGGAGTCTCACTTTGTCGCCCAGGCTGGAGTGCAGTGGTGCGATCTCAGTTTACTGCAACCTCTATCTCTCGGGTTCAAGAGATTCTTGCCTTAGCCTCCAAGTAGCTGGGATTATAGGCACCTGCCATCACTCTTGGCTAAATTTTGTATTTTTAGTAGAGATAGGGTTTCACCATGTTGGCAAGTCTGGTCTCGAACTCCTGACCTCTAGTGATCCGCCCACCTTGGCCTCCCAAAGTGCTGGGATTACAGGCATGAGCCACCCGCACCCAACTTGCTGCCTGCTTCTGATAAATAATATCAAGGATTATTTTTAGGATTGATCCCCGCTCATCCAAGTAAGTCATTAAATGTTTACTTTAAACCCAAAACAATTTGTGTAATCATGGAAAATATAAAGAAATGACCGTTTTGGGCTTAGGCTTCCAACTGTGCAAAATCTACTCAGACATGTAAACATTCTTAAAAAAGTTATAGAAAAACTGATTTATAAAGCAGGACAACAATAGATATATAGTTAAGTGCAAGCTGGGCAATGTGTAGCTATATAAACTGGTTGCACTTGGCCTTATACTTGTGGTTCAAAGACTGGGCGGTGATATGTGATATAATGGTGCAAAACATTTGGATACAGCTATATGACCGTTTATTAAGCCGCTGAGATATATATGTGTATTTTGCTTAGTAGATCTAATAATGTGCTTTGTTTAATTTCCCTCTTAAAAAGAATAACACACACTTCTCTGAAAGAACTTTATTACCCCTTTTACAAATTGTTTATTTTTTTGGCTTAATGTAGGTTTTGGACTATGTGGAATTCCAGAGAATCTTATAGATGCTTTACTGAAAACTGGAGTAAAAGGACTAACTGCAGTCAGCAACAACGCAGGGTAAGTGTACATTTTAAAAACAACTGGCTGGAGAGAAATGCCAATTCTCAATGTTTAAGCAGAGTTTATCAGTGAAATGAAATTTTCTCCTACTCACATGAGCATCAAAATCTAGTGTTTAACAAGGTCAAGAGGGTTACATTTATCCAAATGTTTTTGGTACCATCCTTCATAAGTAAAGCAGACTTGCTTCATCTAGTATAAAGATATAAATTAAGACTTTATATCTCAATGTGATGTGCTTTTATTTTTCTAAACTTAAAATATATTGAAGTTAGAATATATATCTTCAAATTAAGCCTTGCATTTTAAAATTTAAAGGTATTGTTTTATGTTATTTGTTAGATCATTTATAAAGCAAGGTGGGCATCAATTTGAAATCTGTTTAAAGCCCTTTCTTTTAGCAATGCCATCATTCTAGATCATACATAAAAGGATACCATTAATCATAAAAACATGGCTGGTCTTGGAAGGTGGATATGCAGCCAGCACTTAAGATAATAGGATTGCATATTATGTTGGTCAGAAATAAGCCATCATTTTAATAATGGCATGCACATTAAGGTACATTTAGCTATGTTAGGAAAAGCTATATTTTTATTTTTACAAAATGGTAAGTCATCAGCTCTCAACAATTAAAGACTTTAAGGATTTTACATTTTTAATCACCCAATTGGCCTTTTAGCCGATTACAAAAGCAGTTTAGAATAAATAGTGTAGGTTATTTAGGAAATAAAACTGATGCTATTTTTGTGCCCATTTTTCCTTTTCTGGGTCTATTTCCATCTGGAAGATTGTCTCTCCTCTTTCCTGTCTATCCACATCTCTCAAAATTAGACTTAAATTATATATCCTCAAAGTATCCTTATCCAATTACAGAAACTTTTCTAGTCTTTATTGATCTTGCCCCTTTTCGAGTTCCTTTAGAGACTTTTAGCTTTTCTTTGTATGCTGAATTTTACTTATCTTTGATATATATATTACATTACCGATCTCGTTTATTTACAGTAGTTTTGTATTCCCTATTGTCCTGAGCCTGTAAGTGTGAGTCTCAGAGTTACTGTGTGTTGGAGGGGAATGAGATTGTAGAAATCATCTGTCCCTTGTTTAACTGACTTTTCAGATCAGCTGAAAATAGAGAAGTAACTTGTTTATGACAACTTGATAACTCTTAAACATATTTTATGCCCTTTAATTTGACTTGATTATACATACTTTTGATTATCAGCACTTTCAGTTTTCCAGATAGCTTTATGCTTATAAGGGATACTGCAGATCAATATAAAATTCTTGATGCAGAATAGATGCTGTTTTGTCAAAGGCTAAGAAATCTGATTATACATGTGTACCTACACTTATAATTACTTGCGTGTGTGTGTGTGTGTGTATATATATATTACTGTACTAGTCAGCTATAATAGTTTTTTGAGAGCCCAATGGTCAGTCTATCACTCTAAAATGTCTGGTTCTGTACCAATGACTTTGAACCTTGAGATAAAGCAGTGACCCCTCTGCTGTGCCCTTGTTCTTTATTGAGGAAGCTGCAGCTCTGAAGGAGTTAATAGTCAGATGTAGGCCATGAGCTGATTATGGGCATTCCCTAGGATTTAGTTATTTTGTTTGGGAAGGGCTAACTAATTCCTGGGATGTATACTTGAACCTCTATGCTCAGCTCATGAAAGATTTCATTTGTCTCATGTAACTGCAGTAGTCCTCCCTTATTCGAGGGGGATGTGTTCTGAAATCATGGCTAATACTCAACCCAATTGCTGTCAATGGGAATGTATTTCTATTTGTCTTCCACTCACAAATTTAATGTCTTTTCCATCTTAACTAAGCTTTTATTATGCTCTGTTGCTATAACTTTTGCAGTTTGAGATACGACAGCAAAACTAGCACATATTTTTCTCTTTCTTTGAAATTTAATAGATAAAAGATTAATTCTTACTTGGATCTTTCACTTAAAGGAAACACTTTATGGCTTCTTTTTGGCATATCCAAGTTACCAGCACTACTACTCTTGTGCTTTGGGGCCATTATTAAGTAAAATAAGGACCGCTTGAACATAAGCACAGCAAATACTGCAACAATCTATCTGATCACCATCATGGCTATTAAGTGAAGAACAGGAGTGTAGTATATACAGTATAGATATGCTGGACAAAGGGAGGATTCACATCCCGGGCAGGATGGAGTAGGATGATGATGGTTCATCCTGTTACTCAGAATGGTGCACAACTTAAAACTTACGAATTTTATATGTCTGGAATTTTCCATTTAATATTTGTGGACTGCAGGTGACTGGGTAATTGAAACCACAGAAAGTGAAACTGTAGTTTGGGCAGGGGGGAAATTACTGTATGTCATAAATTAGCCTTGTATTTAAATGCAGCATTTTCTTTTTGGTACTCTTGCTATGTTAAATATAATTATCTAATCCAGATTTAAGTATATCTAAAATGAAAAGTAAACAAAAGAAATACAACTTGGTAAGTGATCGCAACTTTATTTTTATTTATTTTATTCTGACAAGAATTGCCAGTTAATGAGATTTCAGAAAATCAGCAAATTAAATTTTAGATTCAGAACATGAAAATATTTCCAGAACATTGTTTCCGATACAGTATCTTTTTGCTTTATAATAATGTGTCTCATTAATGAATTCTTGGCCTTAGACTTTTTCTAGTCACCAAAATGTTTGAAATCCAGGTTTGTTGTGATGCGGGAAAAAAGATCACATCTCTCTTTAGTATGCTAAAAAATGTTGGCTCCTAAAGGAAAGCAACAATCCTTTGAAGGTCTTATCAGCATTGTCTTTAGTGTTAAAGAGCTATAAGATGTTTTAATATTCATGTCTCTATTAGAAATGATATGTTCCCCGTTTGCAAAAGATCACATCTATTTTTCTTTGTCTTGTAAGCCTTTATAGGTAAGAGACTTGTCTTACTCGTTTTCTATCATCAATGTCTGATAATAGGTAAGATATACATTTGCCAAATTTGAGTTGTAAATTATGTGGCAAGAAACACTCTCATTGTAAGCTGACAGCATTTTCAAGACCTGAAGAACTGGTCAGGTAGTGCACCTGGGGCTAGCGTCTTATGCATTGCTTGATTGCTATGCCAGGATACTAGTCTAATAACAAAGCAAAGCCCATATAAACCATGATTCTCAGAGCTAAAATAAATGAATAAAGAGATGTAATCTCCAAATAGAGCCAACTTAAAATGGGTAATGGGTTGAAAAGCCAAAGAGATCCAGAAGAGAGTAATTAGAAAAATTCCTAAGTCAATCAATGACCAACTGTATTCTGGCTTTACTATGGGCCTATAGGAGTTTCAGATATTTAAAACTACAGAAAGTAAAATGGATCATATCCACCTTCATGAATTATTTCATTATAACTTTATTAGTCTGGGTTCCAGAGGATATCAAATGTAATTGAATTTTCTGAGTAGTTGAGGAGTTTACCAAAGGGAGCCTTTTCAGTGGAATGGTCAGGGCTGAGGGAAAACATGAATAATAAAGAACCCTGGAGTTTGTAATGGAGGGGTGCTGTTACCAGCCCCAGGTCTGAAGGAGTGAAAGGAGGCAGCTGTTAGTAGGACCTGGAAGAAAGCTTTATGGAGGGGGTTATTCAATGGGCTGTAACTTCTCAGGGAGAGAGTCAGAGGAATATAAATCCCAACATTTTTCCCTCACCCACATCCTCTTGATGGTGCCTCCCCCTGGGTGAACCCAGTCAGAGTGGCTGAACTCGATCAGAAGCCAGAAGGCAAGGGGACCCCTCAATTTAGTCTACAGGGCAGCCATCTGAGGTCCAGAGCAGGCTGGAGGTTGGAGAACAGATCCAGAGGGACAAACGGTAAATATCCAGTGTAAAGACTTGGAGGTTTTCACTATTATTAGAGAAGAGCCAGTGAGGAGGGGGACAGTGGAATTGAGCAATAAATCCATTTAACAGATGTTCAGCTTAGAATACAATAGTGAATAAAACAGACCAAGATTTCTGCTTCATGGACCAAATGCTCTAGTTTGGGAGAGGTGGACTATAATAGTGACATAACATATAAGTAAACTTTCCAATATGTGAAGTTATATGTGCCTTGGAAAAGAAAACAACAAAAAAAAAGTAATAGGGAATGGGAATGTGAAAGTGGAGGGGCGGGTTTTAATATTCAGTTGGGTGATCAGGATGGGACTCACTGAGGTGACATTTGACCAGAGACTTGAAGGAAGTGAGGGAGTGAGCCATGCAGATGTCTGGAAGAAGAGTTTGAGACAGGGGAAGGCCAGTGCAAAGGCACCAGGTGGGGGATATGTAGGTGTGTTGGAGGGATGGTGAGGTCAGGAGAGGAAGAGAAGTGAGCAAACAGAAGAATGGATGGAGTGAGGTTGGGGACATCAAAGTGCATCTGATCTCATGGGACCTTGCAGGCCACTCTGGAGACCTTTGATTTTACTCTGAATGAAAGTAGCATCACAGGGGTGTGAGCAAGAGCAGTGATGTGTTCTGACTTACATTTTATAAGGCTCACTTGGCTGCCATGTTGTAAGGGAGCAGAAGCAGGGAGGGTTTGCAGTTTCCTGGCAAGATAGTGCAGAGTACAAGGAGTGAGAGAGAAATGGTCAGATTCTGAATAGGCTTTGAAGTTGGAATGAGGATTTCCTGAGAGATTCAATGTGGAGTTTGTGAGAGAAGTCAAAGATTGCTGCGTTAGTTTTGGGCTGAGGATCTGTAAGGTGGGCCTGCCATGAGGTGAGATGGGAAGGCTGCAGTGGAGTTGAATTTGGGGGAATAGAATTGTAGGGACCTAGCTAGGTATTAGGAGTAGGTTAAATTAAACTCAGAAGGCATTGTGTGCATTGAGAGTATGGGGAGACAACCCTTGAACAATGGAAGCATTAGGCATCTGGTGACCCCTAGTGGACAAACGTATTCTTAACTTGCAGGGCATTCTCGCTCAAAATTACACTCTTGAAAATACTTGTTACTTAGGCATTAGTTTTCTTTTGAACAAAGTGAGAGTAAGTCATGCAGCTATTTCTTTTCTACCCATGGTGGATGGGAAATCTTATCAGATTCAGCATTTGAAGGCTAGGGGTGCAAAACAAGTTGAATAGGAGGTTGACAGTTACCTCTTACCCAAACACTTTGAAGTGTTCATTGTGTCAGGAGTGCTGGGGGTAGGAAAGAGGTTTGGAAATGAAATTCTGAGAATTGGGAAAGAATCAGCTGAGCTGTAATGGTCACTTGTGGGTGTGAGGAGTATGAGGGTGGAGAGTGGAATGAAGTTGGGAGAACAGGTGGTATCGGGAGAAATGTCAGTGGCTTGTCACATACTTAATACCTTTCCAGATCAAGTAAGTAGGCATCAGTAGTGCTCGTTAATTTCCCCCAACCAACTTTCTTTATATTCCATCACTAAAGCCAGAATTCTGGAGTGGGTCTGCAGCTACATCAGGATGGGCAACAAGTCTTACGAATTATTTCCCTGAAAGACCCTCTTGATTTCTCCCTTCTCCATTCCCATTCCCACTATTTTAGCTCAGACTCTCAGTGTTGCTTGTTTGGACTACTTTGAGCCTCTTCACTGATATCCCGGCCTTTCATCTTTCAACCTTCCCAGCTAATCATACTGTTACTTTTCCGCTTAAAACTTTTTACAGGGACTTCCTATCCTTCAGGATGAAATCCCACAAGGCTGATCACAACTGATCTTGCCTTCTCCCCTCCCACATGCTGTTGCCCTCAGTCCATATTCCAGGAACACTCAACATGTAGTTTCCTGAGTGCATCTTTGCAAAGCTGTCCATCTGCCTGTTTCTCTCTACAAGTCCGCCGCACACTCTGTTCTCAAAATGTTTTCTTTTTCCTATGTCTATGTAAGTGCCACCTCCTGTAAGATTTTTTTCTGCTATCTTTCTCCTCCCCAAAAGTTGGGTTCTCCATTTTCAGAATTATCACAATTTGCGCCTAATTCCCTTAGCATGTCTCTCCCTCTGTTGTAATTATAGGTTACGTGTTTATTTTGTCAGTTTCAGAGCTGCCCAGGACCAGGTCTTACTCATGATTGTAGCTCCAGAGCCTGACACAGGGATAGAATAAGCACTCAGTAAGGGAGTTTTAGATGAGTTAAGAAACCTGTGGTAGAATAAGCACTCAGTAAGGGAGTTCTAGATGAATGAACTGTGTAGATGACACAAGCTCTGTAGGGAAGGAACCATCAGAGCACTAAAGGAATTAGGAGGGAGAGATTGTAAATAAAAACTTCTGTTTCTAGGAAGCACTCTGGTCCTTATCAGTACATTTCTGTCTCTTAAAAGGCTTTCTTGAAGCATAGTATGGAGTAATGTAGAAAAGTGAACATCTCATAAATACAGTTTGATGGAGTTTTACAAGCTGCACACCCATGTCATCAATGCCCAGATAGATAAATGGAACATGACCAGTACCCCAGGAAGCCTTCTTCCTGCTCCTTCCAGTCACTGTTCTCTTATCCCACTACCAACGTTAATCGTTAGCCTTACTTTTGATCCTTATAAATTTGTTTTGTCTGATTTTGAACATCATATTAAAGGAATATTTCAGTGTATACTCTTGTGTCTGGCTTTAGCTCAACATTAATCTGTGAAATTCAACCATTGTTGCTAATGGTTATAGATCAGTCATTCTCACTGCTATACCCACTTCATTATGTAGTATGCCACAATTATCTATTTGCTGATGAGCATTTTGGAGGCTCCAATTTTGGCCATAATGAACAGTGCTGCTATGAATTTTCTTGTATATGTCTTGTGGTGAACCTAAGTATGCGTTTCTGTTGGTTATAGACCTAGAATGGAATTGCTGACCCATAGGATATGGATATATACAACATTAGTAGGTACTAACAGTTTTTCCAAAATGGTCATTTCAGTTTATATTCCCCTTAGCACATATGAGAGTTCTGATTGTTTCACATCTTTGTTGAGATTTGGTATTTTCTTCTTTTTTAGCCATCCCTTCATATTTGTGGTAGTGTCTCATCATACTTTTTGCCATTAAAAGTGTTTTGCTACTAAAAATATTTCCCCATTAAAAAAATTTCACCACTAAAAAATATTTCACCATAAAAAGATATTTCGCCATTAAAAATATTTCACCATTAAAAAATATTTCACCATTAAAAGATATTTCACCATTAAAATATTTCACCATTAAATAAATATTTCATCATTAAAATATTTCGCCATTAAAAAATTTCACCATTAAAAACAGCTTAAGGTCAAGTATTCTTGTCTTAGAAATGTTTTATTTCTCTAGTTGGTTAAAATATTTCTGACTCTTGAATGGAAAATGATCTTCAGTCTTTAAGGTGACTGTAATGGAAAAATAATTCATTCAGTTATCTGTCCTGTTACATTGACTTTGCTTTAAATTCTAGGCATATTTTGCTTTGAAAAATAATAGAAATAAAGAAAGGCATAAACCTGGAGACCTTCACCCAATGGAAAAATAAAGTCAACACTATGTATACCATTTCTAAGAATAAATTGAGCACCAGCTTTAAAATAATGAAGATATTAAACTATAGTATATATAATTTAACAGATACAGGATTATTGTTTCCACTTATACTCTTCACTGGCTTGTGATTAATTTTTTGTTTGTTTGTTTTTTTGTTGTTGTTGTTTTTGTTGAGAATGTTCAAATGTGGAAATCTTGAGCAAAATATTTATGATATAGGGAAAATGTTCATAGCTATTTATAATTTGGGTCCACATTTCAATGAGTATGTTAATCTCTCTTTTAAATACCAGAATGTCCTCTTTCCTTTTTAGAAGAGAAAGAGCTTCTCCATCCAAATCTTCTTTTGGGTCAGTATATTGCCACTGCATTTATGTGTTCCTTCAAAGCATAGGACAAGAACCAATTCATCTCTTTGCTTATCTTCTAACTCGGAATCACTCTGTAGCCATGAAAATAACAAAAGGTGTGGAGTAAAACTGTAGGGTGAACATGGGTGTGAATATTGGCCGTATGTCCCTTACTGCCAAGACCTTGCCCTGTGCATGCCCCGACCCCACAAAAGAATCACTTAAACTTCTTGAGTTTTAGTTTCCTCAACTGTAAAATAAAAGGGTAGCTACCTTGCAAGAGTTTTGGGGTTATGGGAGACTGAAAATGTGGATTAAATGCCTATAAGAGAGGATTTATTTTTCTTTAAATTAACCAAGTTTTATCTCTTTGAAAAGATGTAATAGTGTTCTGTCAGATGCTCATTGCTAAGCTCCCTTCATTTTCCTTCTAGGGTTGACAATTTTGGTTTGGGGCTTTTGCTTCGGTCCAACCAGATAAAACGCATGATCTCTTCATATGTGGGAGAAAATGCAGAATTTGAACGACAGTACTTATCTGGTGAATTAGAAGTGGAGCTGACACCACAGGTGAGAAGATTTGCTTTTATAGTACTAACTTAAACTTTAAAAATTCATTTTTTCTCCCTAGAAATTTCGCTGTGCAAGAGAGGTAAGGCAGAGGGAATACTACTTTGCCAAACCAAGGAATTTAGTTTCTAAGTCACACCTGTTGATTGCTGAAAGATTAATATTTTCTTCTACTGTATACTGAAAAAGGAGATATTTCTAAAAGATATCCAGTCTGCAAGATAAGATTTTAAGTTTGGCACTGTAATGTGTATTGTGCCAGAAGCATACAAAAAGGATTTGCTGGAATGTTTGAGAATCATCCTAAGAAGTTAATTTATATGAATTTATTTTTAATGTTTTTTGAGGTGGAGTCTCACTCTGTCACCCAGGGTGGAGTGCAGCGGTGTGATCTCAGTTCACTGCAACCTCCGCCTCCCGAGTTCAAGCAATTCTCCTGCCTCAGCCTCCTGAGAAGCTGAGATTACAGGCATGTGCCACCACGCCCAGCTACTTTGTTTTCTGTATTTTTAGTGGAGATGGGGTTTCACCATGTTGGCCAGGCTGGTCTTAAACTCCTGACCTCAAATGAACCACCTGCCTTGGCCTCACAGGTGTGAGCCACCATGCCCCTCCAATTTCTATGAGCTTTAGAACTAGAAATTTGTGAGTGATCTGGTCTTGCTGAGACACATCAGAGTGAAGCCCATGAAAGGTGCAGGTGACTATATCTGAGTAAGTGCTGGGATCAGAACCTAGATTTCCAGGGAACTGGTGTTACTACAAAGCAAGCGGTTACTATAATTAATCTAGCAACTTTTCATTCATTTTCTGTATCATCTCTTAACTAATTGGAGTTATTCATAAAGAAAGGAAAACTTTTTGAAGCCTTTAAGTAAAAGAAGGGTCTACAGTTTTCCTTCATTTTTGACATGCTCTGCTCTCAACTCTTGAACTGAGTCACTCCGCTTCATTTTAGTCAACAGAAAATACTGCCACTGACTTTGCCAAGTTGGTAATAACATAATTTAGTAGATTTTAAAAAATTAATAATTAAATCATGGTGTGTTTGTCTAGAAAGCACACGTGGGGAACTATTCTGAGGCTCATGTGTTGTAGTCACACCTGGTCACTCTATAGCACTCTTACCTGTACATACCATAGCACTGCACTGGGCTTGGTATTTATTCCATTTTCTCAGTTTTTTGAAAAAAAACAAAAACAAAAAACCCCAGAAAAACAAAGATGTCTTAGTCTGCTCAGGCTGCTATAACAAAATATCACAGACTGGTGGCTTAAACAACAGAAGTTTCTCACAGTTCTGAAGGCTTGGAAGTCCTCCTTGGCTTGCAGATGGCCGACTTCTCACCGTTCTTGCATGGCGGAGGGCATGCATGCTCACACTCTGGGTGTCTCTTCTTGTAGGACCCTTCTTGTAGGAACACTAATCATACCAGATCAGGGCCCCACCTTTTTGACTTCCTTCAACCTTGATGACCTCCTTATAGGCCCTATCTTAATACAGTCACATTGGTGACTATGAATTCAACATATGAATTTTGGGGAGAACACAGTTCAGTCCATAGCAGTATTTTTCACATGATAGGTTGAGATACAGTATTCTTTGGGTTGTGGAGCTATTGAAAATTAACCTTTTGATTACCCTTGGTATCTTTTATGTTACTCCTTATTTTGTCAGAAAGTATGTACATCGTTTTTTATAGTTTTTCCTCAGGCTAAGAGAGGTCAGTGTCTCTTTCCCCAGCTTAGCGGTCCATTAGTAAACACTGGCTCTGGCAGCTTATTTTGCAGCCTGAAGGCTAGGGGGAGGAGTGTCAATGGTGGGGATCAGGACTTCTTTGGTGGGTGAAGGTAAGGAGCTGGTGGCACCTACGGAAGGCCTGTCTGCAGAAATAGTCTACTTTCAGGCCCTTACCTAGTATGATAGAAGGGGAGTATTCAGGGACGGTATATATAAAACATATTTTAAGGCAGGGAGTAGTATTATGGTAATTTTGATGATTTAATTTTTTGTGAATGTTACTAACTTCACAACACAAGGTAGAGTCATCTCTTTCCATTGACTAGATAATCAGTTATCTGGAAGATTTTCAGTTATACCCCAAGTCTCTCTTTCCCCAGAATATTCCACCTACTTGAGTGACTCAATGTCTCAAGTACCAACTGTTAGTTTCTTCTTCGAGTTGAATACTTAGAGTCCTGTTAAAGTAGAAAATAGTTTTTAAGGTTGGGACAATATGAACACATCATCATTAATACCATGAACCAATTCTTTTTTTTCATAGAGACAGATCTCATTATGTTGCCTCGGCTGGTCTTGAACTCCTGGCCTCAAGTGATCTTTCACCTCCCAAAGCACTGGGATTTACAGCCATGAGCCATGGTGTCCAGCCCCAATTTTTGACTATTGACTAGCCTGTCAGTTTTCTAGTAAGACTGTCATGTAACAAGGCTATCACAGTAGGCTTCAGTGTTAGGAAGGGTGTCAAGGTTCAGGGCCAGAGTTGATTCCTTAGGGAAAACGTGGGTAGAAAAACAGTTGAGAGTGAGAGAACTAGGGAAACTAGTCTTGAAATCACTGGTACCTAGGAAGAAGAGTCACCCATGGGAAAGATGACGATCCAAAGAAGATACAAAGAAACTTTGCTTGCAGCTGTTTCTACTCTGAAACGATTTGATGTACTCTTGGCTTTTAAAAACCAGTTCACCTGTGTGCCATATTTTTCACTTTGTTTTTTTTCTTAGACAATTTGTAGATAAAAATACTTATGAAAATGGTTTAAAATAAGCTCTAAAATTTGAACACTTTACATTATTAACTTGAATAAAATTTAGCATACCTACATAGAGCATGAAATAAAACAAAATTTAATTGCATTACTTAATGTATATAAGTAAAGTTTCATAATTCAGATTTTAAAATTGACTTAGAATTTCAAAAATAGACACATTTAAAATATGTCAAGAGATCATTGGGAGGTATGGAACCTGAAAGCATGACTATACAAGTAAGCAGCTACATTTTGAATGCGGATTTAGAATGGATCTAGAGGGGCAGTAACTTCTTAAAATTGATCTTCTAGCATACAATATTAGTGAAATACTCATGCTAATATACAATGCTAGCTGCTTTTTAGAATTACAAGCCTCTAGAGAGTAGGAGCCATGTCTAAATGTTTGTGTTCACATACAGAAGTGTGCTTAGTGAACTTATAGGGTGTTGGTTGCTCACTTGTAGGGCACACTTGCAGAGAGGATCCGTGCAGGCGGGGCTGGAGTTCCTGCATTTTACACCCCCACAGGGTATGGGACCCTGGTACAAGAAGGAGGATCGCCCATCAAATACAACAAAGATGGCAGTGTTGCCATTGCCAGTAAGCCAAGAGAGGTAAGAAACACTCTTATCCAGATTATGCCAGGATCCCTCTTTCCACGTGGAATTCTGGGTGGACTCATTGGGCAAATAAGTGTAAAATCACCTCTGTGTGAGAAAAAGCACTCATTCATTTTCATAAACAGGTGAAAATCTAGCTAAATCTAGGCATCTACTAGCATTTAAAATCACATAGAGAAACTAGAATAAAAAGAAGGAAAAAAGGTGTAATCCACATGTGATGTACTAGTCAAGGTTAGTTACTTGAACTGATTTTATGGTAGGCTTTAACAAATTGAGAAACAGTTGTACTTGCTGATTATGCTTATATGGAAAATACAGCAGTTGTGATATGCATGCTAGCAAACTCTTTATGCTCAGGCCCTTCCTAAAGTGACTGTAGGAAGAAAAATACAAGGAAATAATATGTTTGTCTGAAACCTTGAAAGGAACTGTTATGATAGAATAGAGAGATCATATGATCACTTTTTATTTTGTATCTTGGACACATTTGAGCTTTTGACGGAATAACCTACTTCTATTTAAAGTGCTGAGTAGGATGGGGTACATTTATTGTAGGCAACATCACTTACATATTATAGAAGAGCAGAACTTCAGATAAAGGTATTTGAGATGCTCAGATTGGAGAAAATTTCAAAAATTACACTGGCCAGTATTTCATTACAGTATTTTTTAGTATCTTTCCATTCTCCTTGTCCAGATGGCCAAAGAGAGTTAACACAGGTTGCAGAAATGCTGTACTTATCTCTGGGGAAGTGAACATCGTCAATCAGGGGATCTCTTATCACTTTTCTGCATATGGGGATGCTGGCTCTGCCCCTCCCATTCTTTTTTTTTTTTTTTTTTTCTGGAGACGGAGTCTCGCTCTGTCGCCCAGGCTGGAGTGCAGTGGCCGGATCTCGGCTCACTGCAAGCTCCGTCTCCCGGGTTCACGCCATTCTCCTGCCTCAGCCTTCCCGAGTAGCTGGGACTACAGGCGCCCGCCACCTCGCCCGGCTAGTTTTTTGTATTTTTTAGTAGAGACGGGGTTTCACTGTGTTAGCCAGGATGGTCTCGATCTCCTGACCTCGTGATCCGCCCGTCTCGGCCTCCCAAAGTGCTGGGATTACAGGCTTGAGCCACCGCGCCCGGCCTTGCCCCTCCCATTCTAAGGAACGATCAGAGGGAAGATCAGAGGTCACTGAATACGTCCTTTGATGTTCAGTGTTGGTCTCCAGCCGTGTCTTCCATCTGGAGACATCTTTCTGTTGAGAGTGATCTATGTGGATTCAAAGCTTTTATTAATGTGTTTTTTATGTTTTATCTTTTTCCTTTACTGTCTAAATAAGTTTAAAAGGCTTCTTGACAAAGTAAAAGACAGGAGCTTAATTATTAAAATGAACTGTAGTAGTATGTCATAAAGGTTCCCAGAAAACTTGTGATAAATACTTTGATAGCTTCCTAGAAGTTGGAGAATTAATTCACCTTGGGAAAATATGAGACTAAAATATTTCTTTATTCATTTCTGCCTGGAGTCAGGTGCCTCAAACTAGTAGTTTTGTAATTTTGTCTGAATTCCCTAGGAATGTGACAGATAATTTATTTCTTAATTCTTAGCACTTTCTTTTTTTTACTTATAGTAGGAAGAAGTGAGTTAATTTCTAAATTAGTGATATTTATTAAGGTCCTACCCTTTGTCTAGCCCTGGTCTAAGCACTGTGGTAAAATGATCTAGATCAAGTCCTCCTACAAGTGAAAGAACTGACAGTGAATGAATAAATGCATAGTGTCTAGTACTGTGAAGACAAATCAAGTAGATTAAGGGCAAAGAGAATTAATTATCATTGGCCAGGCAGCTGGTATTCCAGATTGGTGGCCAGGGAGAGCTTCTCTGGGGAGGTGACACTTGGTAGAGACCAGAATAAGGTAGCAGAACGAGGCAAGTGGAGATAAGAGGGTTTGTGCTCTATTTAGAAGGAAGAATAAGTACAAGGTGCTGAGGCAGCTACAGGCTTGCGGTGTTTGGGGAACAGGAGGGTGGTGAGCCTGGAACAGCACATGAGACAGAGAGTGATAGGATGGAGACTGAAGAGGCAGGAGCCAAATTCATGCAGTTTGAATTTTACTGGACATAGTGGGAAGCCTATGGATTTTGAATAAGAGTGAGAGTGATGTAATTTGAGTTGTGTTTTGTAACTATCACTGTGGCTGCTGGGGTGGTGGTTCTTGTTCTCTCTCTCTCTCTCTTTTTTTTTTTTTTTGTATTTGAGACGGAGTCTCACTCTGTCGCCCAGGCTGGAGTGCAGTGGTGCTATCTTGGCTCACTACAAGCTGTGCCTCCCGGGTTCATGCCATTCTCCTGCCTTAGCCCGCCAAGGGCTGGGACTACAAGCACCCGCCACCATGCCCGGCTAATTTTTTGTATTTTTTTAGTAGAGACGGGGTTTCACCGTGTTAGCCAGGATGGTCTCGATCTCCTGACTTCGTGATCTGCCCACCTTGGCCTCCCAAAGTGCTGGGATTACAGGCATGAGCCACTGCGTCCGGCCTTTTTTTTTTTTTTTTTTTTTTTTTTTTGCTAGGAAGCCAAGAGCAGAAGCAGTGAGAGAGGGTTTAGGAGGCTGTTGTGTTAATTTAGGTGGGAATGGAAGGTGGCTAGACCAAGGTGGTAACAGTGGAGTTTGAGAGAAGTGGTTGGAATTGATGTTACGTTGATGGTAGAGCTCACAGGATTTGCTGGTGGATGGGTAAGGGGTATGAGGAGTCAAGCATACTGTGTAAGATGAGTGAAGCATGGGCCTTATCAATGAGCTCTGTTTGGGACATGGTGCATTGGAGATGTTCATTAGACTCCAAGAGGAGGTGCTTAGTGGACTTCAGATCAGGGCAGAGTCTAGAGCCAGGACAGAGACTTTGGAGGCATCAGCATGTAGTATTTAAATCTATATACTAGATGAGTGTCTAGGGGCTGAGTGAAGATAGAGAACACCTCGTTGACATTTAGAGATTGGGAAGAGAAGGAGCAGCAAAGAGAAATGGGAAAGAGTGACTAGTAAGTGAAGAAGAAACCCAGGGGCATCTGGCAACTTGAAAGATAACAGAAATTTTAAAAAGAAGAAAATGATTAACTGAGTGTGAAGAGGTTGGTAATACAGGACCTGGAATTGAATAACTGGATTTGCAAAAACAGAGGTCATTGACAACTTTAAGAATTATTCCTTTTTGGAATAGAGGGGATGAAAATCTCATTAGATTTGAGAAAGAACCAAAAAGTGAGGAAGTGGTGACTATGAAATGGACAATTCTTTCAAGTGAGTAAAATAGCTAGTTTGATAAAACCAATTCCTTCCCCATTTTTAAATTTCAGTAAAACTAACACTCAGCAACAGCTGTGTAGACATATCAGAAAATTATGTAACTGGAATATAAAAGAAGCCTGTTTATTGACTTTGCCTTACATTTGCATATATTTACCCCAGTTTTCTAGATCTGTGTGTAAAATACTGAACTATCATTGTTGGTATTTACAGTGATTTTTGAAATACATAAGCCATTACAAAATAACTTAGTATATTGATATGTGGTTCAGAAATATCTTTCATATAATTTATCTTAGTTCCTATAGTAAGATCCTCATTCATCAGTTATTCCCTAAGTTCATTAGTCTTTTTTCTAGCAGGCAACTTGGTTAATGTCTTTAAAGTAGCTTTTATTTAAGAAAAGTTTTGTTTCAAACCGTGGTTGAAGTAAAATGTACCAAAATTTTCTGTAGCAGCTTTTTGTAAAACGTAGTCTGTTTTTCCACTAGGGGGTGCAATAGGGATGAGAATGGAGTTCTGCATTCCCATGGCTCCATTTTGTGCCATGATGAAGTGTGGCAATGGATGTTTGTTTTAATTCCTGGAGATAAACCCTCAAGAATAAAAGAACATGATGGCAAGACAGTTTTGCTTTATGTTCTTCCCCCCAAAATTCATAGTATAATTAAAAGGCAATAAATATAAATAAAAATCAATAGCATTCCCTAGACCAGTAATGTCAGAAGAGTAGATAGGAGCAAATGTAATATTCACAGTAGCAAGAGAAACCACTAAGTACCTATAAATAAACCTAAGAAAAATATATAAAGCTTTTATGGAGAAAATGATAAAGCTATTGAAGGAGGTCAAAGAAAACCTCAGTAAATGGAGACATATACTATGCTCATGGGTGGGAAGATAGGGCATGTTGGTTTTCTCCAAATTTACTGATTCTGTGAATCCCATTTAAAATCTCAACAGGTGATTATAGGTTAATGAGGATATCCGAATGATAGATTTTTGTAACTGTTTTATGTAGAAAAACAATATTGCATAGACCGTTTTATGCAAACTATTTTTTTCAGTGGGAGGGAAAGAGGGACTATTTTTCGTATTCAATATATAACCTGTACATACAAATAGTAAAATGAGAATAGTCTATCCCTCAGGCCATAGAACTTTCAGTTCCTCAAATGCACACGTTTTCTTTTGTCACTGGACCTTTACTTATCTGTTTCCTTAGCTCCCCTTTGACCACTTTGACTAAGTCCTTTTTGCCTAACACTGCTTATCCTTGAAGTTTCTGAGATGCTTTTCCCTCTCAGAAATTTTCCCTTGCTAGGCTTGTATCCTTATTATCTACCTCTGTCAGAGTGTCTCTATCAGAGGGCCTCTATCACAAGCAAGACCTGTGCAAATACCTGACAATGCCTTCTCCCTCTTCTGCAGGTGAGGGAGTTCAATGGTCAGCACTTTATTTTGGAGGAAGCAATTACAGGGGATTTTGCTTTGGTGAAAGCCTGGAAGGCGGACCGAGCAGGAAACGTGATTTTCAGGTATTGTGATAGTTTTAAAAACACTCGTACATATCAGCAACTCTATATTTTCTAAATTACGATTACAAAAATGGACATCAGAGCAAATTTGCAGTTTAAAAATGTATTTCGGAAATGGCCCAAGATCATACATGCCCATGTGTATTGCACATATATAGGTGTGTGCAGGGCTGCTGGTATGTCCACTTGTGGGAGTCTGTTTGGACTGGTTGATATCCATGTTGCACTGCTTGTTAAATATTTGAAGTTATATGCCCTTTTATATAGGCTCGTCCAATTGTTTTTCTTCTTGTGTATTTTAGTTGCCAAGACCAGTTACATGTTTAGAGAATATGACATCATACAATTTAATTTAATCGATACTCTAATTTACATGTGTTGTCTTAAAATGTCAAAGTTAATTTGATATTTTGAAAGGATACTGCTAATAATCTTTGGGGTCAGTCCTTCAGTCCTTTTAGTGTCTTCTAGGAAATGCTTACAAAGGTCCTATCTGAAAAATTGGTTAACCTTTATAATACTAAATTTTCAATCCTCACTCTCTGGTTAGTGACAGACTTTATAGATTTTAAAATCTTTTGGTTATTCTAAGCATAGTAAGTATTTATTTCCTGGATTTATAGATTTATATAGTTGTTTTTTGAGGATTATGAAACCTTCGAGTGTACACTTTAGAGTTTTCCAAACTGTTTGATCTTGAAGACTTCACGTATCAGATTACAGAAATCATTGTTTTGGTCATTTATCATTTGCTGCTTTCGATTAACAATTTTTAAATCTTTAGCAAATGCAGTTTTGGTGCAATCACAATTAAGTTCTCAGTGATACCCTCATACCACTTTTTATTTCTGAAGGACTTACGAGATATTAATGCTCCTTGATTTCTTTAATCTAGTCAGTGTTTTAAAGTACAACTAATTTTGGCAATAACAGGAGACATTTTACATCATCTTTACCTTATGTGACACGTTTGTGTAATATTTACAAATGCTTAGTTGCTTTTTTAAAAATATTAACAAAATTGTATACTACAAAGCAGAAAGGAATTATTGAAAATATTCCCACATTTAGTCTGTGCTACAGTGCCTGGCTCTGGTATTTAAAGGCTGCACAAGGGCTATTCTAGGCACTGACTTTATGCTGGTGGTTAATGAGTTCTGGTCTGAAATGAAAGCTTGCATCACCAATGATCAAGTGACCTTAGGACTGACTTCATATTTAGTGGGACAGCTGGAACAGAAGTCTGTCTAGGTTATTCAAGTGAGGGACTTGGGATTCCTTTGCCTCTGACCATTCTGCCCTTGGAGCTTTTGATGCCTGGATGTCTGGTGGGATCTAACCCAGCAACTTGTGAAAGTTCACGAGGGCTCCTTTCTCAAGGATGCTCCTATTCCTGTACTAATTCTTCAATCTGAGCAAAAGAAATATTGGTGGCTCAAAAGAGCTAGTAAAACATAGCTGTGACTTACTTCCTTCTACCAAAGAAATTCTGCCGTCAACCTATATTCCCAGAGACAAAAAGTATATTTTAATTTTTATCATTAGGGGAACTGTATTGAGGAACATCAGAGTGCAAAACCATCAGCAAAATTGGCACCTCTTCGAAATTTTTACACCTCAAAGTCTGATGTGGGTGTTGTACTTTCAAAAACTTCATCAGAAAATGATTCTCCAGAATTATCTTTATAGGTGACTCACAAATTATCAATGAATGTTTCATTTAGTTTCAGCAATAGGCTTCTTCTCTTCAATAGAGAATGTAATTACTATACCTTCTCATGTGAAGCATTTGCTACTTTTCCTTTATTGATATTTTAATGAAAGCAACTGGTTGAATGAAATATTTAACTAATAGGGACAAAGCATACTTGTTAAAAGATTAAGGGAAATTAACTTCAAATAAAATATTTATTAATATTCTTTTTTTGTTGTGGCTATATGTTGAATGTGAAAAAATAGTTCCTCTTTCCCTCAATCCTGTTCAAAACAAAACTATATACATTGAATAAAGTAGTTAAGATTTTTTAAAATTTATGAGATATTTATGAAACTTTATTAATGGAAAATATGATACACTCTTTTTGGAAAGATTCTTAGATTCTTAGTTCATAGAAATTCTAATCTATAAACCCTTAAAGGTGACAGAGATGTTTAGTTTTGGTCTTTTCCCCCCAACTTTCTTTTCTCCTCCACCCCTGATGTAGGAAAAGTGCAAGAAATTTCAACCTGCCAATGTGCAAAGCTGCAGACACCACAGTGGTAGAGGTAAGAGGTTATTTTTGAATTCTTGGTGTTAATTATTTAACTTGATGTTAAGTATTAATTCAATAAAAAGTACCACAGTTCATTTGTTTTCTGGATAACAATGACAGATTTTTTTTGTTTTGTTTTGGAAGTGGATCCATTCTATCTGAATATATAATAGTTAAAATTTTGCTGTAACTTCAGCTTTCTGGTTAGGGTCTCACTAGAATGCTCTCTTTGGGAATCAAGCAATAGGACCAGCTTATAAAAGTCCTTTGATCCTTAAATGAAATAGATCTCCTTGAGTGAAATCCCAAGATGAATTTATGTATGTGGAATCCCTGGAAAATAGTAAATGTGTCAGAAGAAGTTCATGATCTTACTGTGATAGATTTTGTGACTTTAAGGGAAGAGCGTTGCACAAATAACTACTTTGAGGTGGTTCCATTCAGAGCATATTCAGGCACTGACTGTCCTTTGAGTATCTCAGTATTTGGAAGAGGCTTGAATAATTCTGTAGCCTTCCCAGGCTTAAGGATCCAGGGCAGAAACAGGGGCTTATACCAAAACTGTGCCATTTTGGTTGTAATATATTGAACCTCAAAGAAGACTTCAGATGGTTCTCAACTTGAGGCCTTGAGGATCAACTTGGAACCGAATTTTGTGGGAGTTTGAGATAGTTTTTCCTTGGGAGGACTTTATAGGACCCCTATTGGGATCTGGAATTGAAAATACATAGGTTCCTTAGTGATTTTTCTCATGATGGCAGGTGTTGTATGTGGTATCTTTTGATTCATTTATACAAGTTTAAGGTAATGTTTCATGAAGTCAGTACAGTGTATTTTGAAACAATCAAATGTTAGAGTTTTGTTCCTTTCTTGGAAAAAGAAGTGTGCTATTTTTAAAGTGCTGAGGTATATGTTACTTTCAACCGACACGTGGGGGTTCCTTTTGCAATGGCTTTACATTTTCTGCCTTTAAAATGGATAATGTGGCTTACACTTTCTGTGTAACCTGTCTTTAACTTATTCATCCATCTTAATGACCTGTCTGTGGCACACAATTTTAGTGTTACTGAAAAAAGACCTACAGCATAGCTTAAAATAATCAATATTTTTATACCCTGTTGACTTCCTGTATTTCTGTAAAACTGTCAGAAACCAGTATTTCTTCCCAGAGTACAGAGGGGCATTATGCATTATCCTGGGTGAAGTTCTTTTTAAAATTTTTCCTGTTATAATCTGATTCTTTTCAGTTCATCTCATTTCTTACAAGAGCAGAAAATAACCTTGTGTTGAAGAATCATTGTAGGTATTAGGAAAGAGAGACTCTTTTGGCCTAAGGAGAGAAAATGCTTTAACTGAGCCTACAAATGTAATAAAGCCTGCCCTTCTGTGTCCTGGAACAGACATCTCTGATGGATCACAGAATGCTTTCCTGGTAGGCCAAGACACACATTAGGGTCTCTTTCAATACAGTGATGTGGGCAACCACTCCTAATTCACTACACTTTCCAGTATGGTAGCCACTAGCCACATGTGACTTGTAAAATTAAAATTATGGCATGGTGGCTCAGACCTGTTATCCCAGCACTTTGGAAGACTGAGGCAGGTGGATCGCTTGAGCCCAGATGTTGGAGGGCAACATGGTGAAACCCTGTGTCTACAAAAAATTACAAAAAATTAGCCAGATGTGGTGGCATGTGCGTGAGTCCCAGCTACCCGGGAGCTGAGGTGTGAGGATCGCCTGAGTCCAGGAGGTCAAGGCTGCAGTGAGCTGTGACTGTGCCACTGTGCTCCAGACTGGGCCACAGAGTGAGACCCTGTCTCAAAAAAAAAAAAAAATTGACTGAGAAATTGAATTTACATTTATAATAGTCCCATATCAAGTAAAGCTACATGTGGCTAGTGATTACTGTATTGATCAGCACAAGTAAACATTATCATTGCAGGAAGTTTTATTGGACAAAGCTGGATTAGAAGGATCAAGAATAATCTGTTATACTAGTTCAGGAACATAAGCAAAACAGCTCTTTGGACTATAGGATTATTGTAAACCTACCCCTGACACCTGTTCATAGTAGAAACATATAGTATACATAGTAGAAACATGACCATAGATTGAATTGTAAGAACTGTGCTCTCGAAAGTAGAAAATAATTTAGAATTGGAGTTAGTGCCTAGATTGGGCATTTTCTGATATGAAGTCTGATTTGGCTTTGTGACTTGTATTTTGAGTCCAGTGAGTACCCTGGACCTCTAGCCCCCTGCACTGGCCTCCAGGTTTCTATGACTTTTCAAGCCCTATCTTGCTTTCTTTTATAGGGGTCATAGTGGGATGGATGATTATGAGCTAGTCTCTAAAGTGCAACATTTAAGAGGAATCTTCCAGAGATCATTAAGTTAACTGCATATTCTTCTGCATGCAAAATGCTAATAATGTTAGCTGCTATTCAAGCATTTACTATGTGTCGGTCACTACCGTATTCCTTATGTGCATTATTTTAAATTCTCACAATAGTCTTATGAGATAGGAATAATAATTATCTTTATTTTAGAGGTGATGACTTAAAGGCATAGAGAAGTTAAGTTATATACCCCATATCCCACAGCTTAGGTGGAACCAGGATAGACCCACAGAGAAACTGATTCCAGGGTGTCTACTCTTTTCCATTATGTTATGAAATGCTTCCATATTATCTATCAATGGGTGCTTTAAACTCTTGGAAGATATCTCCAGAAGTAGCCCATTTGAATGCTAACTATTAGATACAAGCAAATAAGGAGGTTTTTTTTTTTTTTCCCCAGCTTATTTTTCTGTCCCAGACCTTCCTTGACAATTATTTCAGTTGTAGTCTTTTTTTTTTTTCTTCCAGTACCGTCTACCTTAGAGATGTCTTTGAGAAAGGCATCATCCTGTGTTCAGTGGCCCCGTGCATTCATTCAGTCTTTCTCTTGAACTCTTTTCATTCTGTTGTCTAGCCTCTTTGACCTTTAAGCTTTTTACGTATTTCTCTAAATGTGGTGACTGAATGTCTGTTTTAGTACTATAGTATCTTAAGCAGTGGGAGGCATAACCAGCGTGACTACACCCTATATAACATAGTCAATGGCGTCTTTTTTTTTTTTTAAATAAAAAACTCTTAGCTCATCTTCTTTCTTTTGAATTGTAGAATCTGGATTAGAGCTTGTCTCTTAAAGCTCTATGCCAGCATCTTCACACTCCACAGTGCTGTATATTCTCAACCTTTCTTCTCCCTGGTGATTTGAGTTTTGACTTGAGTTTTAGGGAAGATAGAACTATAAATATTTAAAGTACTAATAATGATTCCCTTAGGCATCTTAAATTTGTTTTGGATTTGGAAGCAGGGTGGCAAAGGAACATACCTCTTGCTTTTCTGTTTATAATTTTTAAATTATATAATTTACAGCAAGTGTTTTACATCGAGAAGTAAATAAGTATGTTTATTTCTAGACTCTGCAAAAGGGAAACATTAGTCCTTTTTGGCAAAGTTTTTTTTCAGATGTGTTCTAGACCAAGGGCCTCCAACCCTCAGGCCATGGACCTGTACAGGAACTGGGCTGCAGAGCAGGAGATGAGTGGTGGGTGAGTGAACATTACTGCCTGAGCTCTGCCTCCTGTTAGATCAGCCCTGGCATTAGATTCTCATAGGAGTGGGAACCCTATTATGAACTGTGCATGTGAGGGATCTAGGTTGCTCGCCCTTATGAGAATCTAACGCCTGATGATCTGAGGTGGAACAGTTTCATCCCAAAACCACGCCCCCGCCCAACCTCCGTCTGTGGAAAAAGTGTCTTCCACAAAACTGATCCCTAGTACCAGCCAAAAAAGTTGGACCACTTTTCTAGACAAACTTATGAGTTGTATAAAACCATAGAGGTGATCACTTATGTGTGTTTTTAACAAAACCAATATGAACATTACATTCATATTTATTTAAAAGTACAGCTATTTGCATGCTTCCCCACAAAGCTGTGACACAGTTGATGCTGGCTGTATCTTCCTACCCTTCTTATAGACCTGGGTAGCTACTTGGGAAAAATAGTGCACATGGGCACATATTGCCACACATGCCAGAGAGATGTTTCTCTTTTCAGTCCAGACAGTGTTATTTCTGGACCTCCCTCTCTTTGAGTGAGGGTGAAGTCTTCCCTGATAAGCTTTACAAGTTCAAGTGCAAAACCAGCCAGGGAATGACTCTTGGGTGTTGCCTTCCATGTGTATGACAAGGAGTAGCAAGGACTCTTGAGTCTTCCAAAGGGAACTAATTGGGCTGTTTCTCAGGAGGAATCCTGTTATTGTGTTCAGCTTTCAACTCCCTATGAGCCCCCCTGCTAGTCTTCTGTGTGCATAAGCTACCATCCAAGTTTCTCTGGAAATGACCTATTTCTATTTTTTTTTGAAGGAGCCTATAATAGAAAACCAATGGGGAGGGATGAGAGTGCTTCACTCAGGAAACTGTTGATGCTTTGTCTCCTGCAAGCAGCCTGGCATGCACGTGCTGTCAGAAAAGGTTGTCTGACTCAGCCACTGAAGCTGCTGAGGCTGCCTGTGACTGAAATAACCTCGCTGCTGTGGATTTCTTTGTGCTGTCAGGCTTGTGCCGTGGCTAGTTTACAAGACAGCAAAGGTTTACCCAAGGCTCTTTCAACTATTTTAGTTAACTTCAGCTTTCAGTCAAAATAAGTATATTTATCATGACATAAATATACTTACTTTTATTGTATTTATATTATGGTATGTTTGCCTGTAAAAGAATTGTTTAGATGATACGATATTTGGTGCACACAAATATTTACTATAGCCTGTGTGGTTTATGAAGTACAATATAAACTGAATATCGGTGAACCCATCTAATATAAGAATTAGAGGTTAATGGACATATAGAAAATTATTTTCAAAAGTGATATCCTAAGACCTATATTTATAAGAGCCAGGCTTCAGGGAGCTGCATCTTCTGTGTTCTGTACCAGTGCCTGGCATGTGGCATCGTTTTAAAA